TAATTTATAAAATGTTTATAAGAAAAAATTTTTAAAAATTTTTAAGATTAGGGGGTTAATATATATATATTGAAAATATAATTAACAAGAAAATGACAAAACGATATCATTTTGAAATTCTAAGTAACGATCAACTTAATTGATCATTACTCAATTTTCAGTACTTTAGGATTGAAATTACACAATTTGGTTTTATGAATGTGAAATTACCAAATCGTAATAGAACGAAAATAAAATTTGTCATTAAATATTGTTTTGTCCGGTAAATGATCCAGTGATGTATTTTTATCATGGTCTAGTGATATGCTTCTGATCCTCAAACATAACAAATTTGTGACGAGAAAAAAACTATCCTGACTTTTTTTAGTATTTCGAAGTACATTTTAATTTTGAGTTAAGTATGTACTTGATTTCTGTAATTTAATGAAAGCACTTTACTGATTTTAGAGACTATATATATTTAAGTCTCGTATTTTCCAATTTGTTTATAAGTTAATTCTTTTTATCAAATTCCATATTATTTTCTAATATTATTAATTTGTTTTCTTTCTAAAAACTGGAATAAAGAAATAATAACAAAAGAATCAGTTGAGATGTAAAATTTGTTTAGGAAAAAGACATTTTTGAAACAAAAACTACAAAATTAGGATGGCCAATGTGATCGAGAGATTAGAGATTATTTTATGATTTCTATACTACCACGGCTGACTAATTAGTTTTAAAAACCTATATCCATTGAGCTATAACTAAGTCTTTAATTTTTTTTATATATATCATTTTTCTTTTCGAGGAAGACATGGCCTTAGAGACTAGATGTAAAGGCGCTCACCCTCTTTGCTCACAACAGGCAAACAAGGGAATGTCTTTTGTTGAAATAGAATGTACTTATTATTATTTTTTATTTATTTATATTAAATTTAAATAAATATTATATAAATTGTATAGTTACCACACACACTGATCATGGTAGCTCGCAAGCTGGATCAAAATTCAAAAGTGAAGGACATGTCCAAACATACGCCATTGATAAGGAGAAAACATCACCTTCCCATATTAATTAAAAGCAACCATGCATTATCACCACTTTTATTAAAAACTGATATAATAAAGTATGTCAATAATATAAACAATTATCCGTCGAAGAAGGTGCAGATGTGCTTTCACAGTTCACACGGGCCGGCCAAGGCAGCAATTTTCTTCGAAAAAGAAGAAAAGAGCATAAAAGAATTGAATTAATTATAGACCAGTGACAAAAGATGGCTACAGATTTTTTATTAAGACGAAAAGTGGCAAAAGAAAAAAAAGAAAGGGATTGCAGAAAAACTTTGTCACGACAACTATGGCCTGTATAGTTTTCTTTTTGACCACTTGCATTTCTTTTCTTCTCTTTTTCTATGCTCATTCAAACAAATTTGCCAGGCAAAAGCCTTCGCTTTTTGAAGAAAACATGGTTGGCTCTAGATGCTCTCTGCATCTTGTGTCACACTCGTCACAAAACATGTCATATTTGGGCGAATGACAAAGCTCTGCTGCAAGCTTAATAGCCCACATCTTGATTTGGTCGGAATAAATTTCTCTTTTTAATTTGAGTCATTAAAGTATCCATTGTCAATCAATATTATCCCTCTATCTAAAATCATTATCCGTCCTGAATGGAAATATTAAACCACTTCAAATCAACATTGTTTTATCACGAAGAAAAAAAAGTTGAAAAAAAAAATCTAAATTGCTCATTTTTAAAAACTTATGTATGAATTATTATAGAATTTTAAAGTTGATTATGTATTAATAATGAAATGAAGTAAGTGTATGTTTTCATTTTTAACTAATAGAAACTACTCAGACATTTTGAAACTTGATTTTTTAATATAACGAATAACAAATTGTTTTATAAAAAAAAACCTACAAAATATATATTTTTTAATTAATGATTAAGCATTTTAAGATCTATATTCATATTCTTATAACAAAGTCTAGTATCAATCACTCAAGAGAAAAAGCTTAAATCAATTATAACTAAATTTCTTTTCAAAATATAACGAATTCTGGATTTCTCAAATCTTTTGGTTATAGAAAATATTGCTTTCAAGTTGCTTTGACATTTTCCTTCAGCAACAAGCCAACAATTGCCTATGGAATTGTAACATTGGTTGACATGAGATACTTCGTAAATCTAATTAATATATTGTTTTCTTTGGTAACTTAATTGAAACATCGACTCCGGTTGGGGGGTCAAATTTGTCGCTTACCCATCATATTCTGTGGCCGCTGGTGCTGGTCGAAGGGTCGGGCAAATTGGAAACCCGTGCAGCGTGGTGCCAGCCATGACCTAAACATAAGGAGTCTGGCAGTTGCAGACTAAAAGGGCAAATTATAATTAAACAAAATGCAAACTTGCAATTCATATTAACTAACTAACTCTAAAGCAGTGAGAGAAGAAGAGACCGGGCAACCGACAGACAAGGACACCTCGTATGAATAAGGAACTAAAGTATTGCGGCATACAAATGACTTACCTTTTTTGATATTGGAATCAAAGTTTAGCTGTTAAATTAATCAAGCAACTCCCGCTTAATCAGGGAAATTAAAGATACTTTCGTAAAAATGGATTGCGCAGGTTGTCTCTTGCCACATAACAGTAGAGGAAATTATCCCGAGTCACATCGGTTAAGATCTGGTAGCTTCTAATACGTTCCATCAGTTAAACATGGAGAATTTTTTTCTTTTTTATTACGAGCTCGGAGGTTCCAATTCCTTGAGAGGTGAGATTGGTAATTTGGAGCGCTGCCGTAATCCATCCTAAAATTTAGTTCGGTAAAAAAAAAAAAAAATTAATGTTTTTTTAAGTTCCTCTACTTTATATATATATATATTTGTCTTAATACAATTCATGTACATTACATTTAATCATCTTTACATCTTTATGTCATTTGGTGTCACTGACAGATTGAACTGGACATGTATCGTGTTCTTAGAGCATAAAAATATACATTTGATCGCTAAAATGTTGTAAGAAATTTACTTCGATCCTTATCTTTTATTTTTTACAAAAAATTCCTTAATTTAATTTTTTTTTCGTAGTATTTTACAATAAATACAATTTAGTGCATGACTTAATTTTTTTCAAATCATAAATTTTGTCAAAATTCTCAAAGTAGATATGTGATATCATAAGAAATAAAAATTCAATAAAATCATAATAACAACAACAACAATGAAAAATAATATCATGATCAATTAATCCAATCAAACAAAAAATATCAAGAAGTCCATGAACTAAGCTATCACTTTTGAGATATAATTCATTTCTATAATATCATATAATTATTATTTTTTTCATTCTTTTCTTTTTTATTTTTCATCTCAATCTTTTTTAGGTTGAAATAAATAAAATTAAAAAAATAAATAGAAGGAATATTCTCATAATAGATAATACAATATTATACCAATCAAAATTTTTATTTTTTAAACGGAGATAACTCGTTTAAAGTTATTTAACTCCCATCAATCTATTTAAATTATCCGATTAGTTTTGATCAAATTTATGGTTTGACATGTAGAAATTTAATTGAAAAATTAAGTTAGGGACCATATTATATTTATTGTAAAATACAATTATAAAAACTTTCAATTAAGGATTTTTTTGTAAGAAAAAATAAAATACAAGGAAAAAAGTAAATATTTTAAAAATTTAAAGAACCAAAAATACATAAATGAAAATTTTATATTTTAGGAACATAACACCAACTTACCAAAGGATGTAATGACAAGATAATGTAATGTATAAAGATAGCATCAAGACAAAAAAAACAATAAATGAATCTTTTTAAATAAAAAGAGAATAAGGAGATGCACCAAAGGATTAAACCGAAAAGAAGAAGAAGAAGAAGAAGACTATCATTGATCAATATGATGTACCCTACATCTATTTGCACTGGACCTGTTGGTGATGCAACTTTTTCTCGGTCCAATTAGGGCGCTAAAAAAATTGCAATTGTTCGTGTAATAGGCTTGATTAGTCTCCTCGAATGTAATGCTACTATATGGAATAGCCATGGTGATGGTGATGGATAGCGATGGAGGAATTCTTCTTTGTTGGGGCCATGATAGTCGGTTCGAAAAAGCCTAGAAGCATATGTCTTTTTTGCCACAAGAATGTTGCCCACTCGAGTACTGTCTTCCACGAGCAATGCATTGTTTTGCATAGAACAACGCCACTTGGATCGATATTTTAATACAATTGGTACATGGATGGTCAATGATTGATTTATTTTTCAATATAATATTGATTCAAGGACGAAAATACAGTGAGGTTTGCATTATCATTTTACTAAAGTGCTTTCGACGCAAACTTGAGTCCTAATTCTACCTTTTTGTTTATCAATGCGTCATCGTATTCCTTGGTTTTTAGGAGGAGGAGGGGGAAAAAAAAACCTTTCATTTGTTCCTTCAAGCTCCCAACAATGAAAAAACGAAAAGCAAACTTTATTAGTTGACCCATATTCTCTATTCAAATTCAATTATTTTCTTGACACTACAAAAATATTTTGGTCAAACAGTAAGTAATAATATAGATTGGAATTCTTTCATGCTTTAAAACATATGACTAATCATTTTTTAAAATCTTAACTATTGAGTTCAAATAAATAAATTACATTGTCTTAAAGTATAGCATTTCTTTAATTATATTTTTGAATAATTACCTTTTTATAAACAGAATTTGCTATATTTTCAAGGACATCCAAATCCGTTAAAACTCTAGCAGAGCTTTTGGACAAGTAAGTTAAACTCATGTCCAATTAATGGGCCACGATCTCATCAACAACCCATGGAAAAATCCAAGCACGTGGCCCAAAATTTAAATCACCACGGACACCCATTCAAAACCCCAACAGTTACCATCCAATCCCAAAAAAAAAAAAAAAAAAGAATTGCAAAAACCACAAGCACCAGAGTTTTATATTTATCTCCACTGTCGTCAATGGCTGGCAGCAGAAACAATGGACAATACTTTCAGAGACCGAGTTGATAAAATCTTCGGCTCTCTCACTTCCTCTTCTCCATCGAAACCACAACCTTCTTCGTCTCTAAAATCATCTTTATGGTCCCTCACCGACGATGCAGTCGAGAGGAAAGAGTGGAAGAGAGACACTTCATCTCTCGCTGCCTCCTTTGATAGAGACGAAATTCCCTGCGCCTCGTCGTTTGATAAGTTTAAAAAGGAGAGAAAAAGAGGAATTTTGAGCTTAAAGATGATCTAGATGAGCTTGAAGAGGATGATGATAGAGAGTCGAACCGATCGCGAAGAGGAGGGGAATATGATTTGGAGGATTGGGGGATTCGATCTTCGATCGGTTTGGACCCTACGCTTGATAACGAGGTAGGTTTTTTTTTTTTTTTTCTTTTTCTTTTACTTTATTACTCGATTCTCTCATACTTTTGTTTTCTATTTTTTTTTAATAACGTTTAAAATAGTCTTATTTTGCTCTGTTTTTGGACACCAGAGCTATGAAATTTGCTTTCATTGTATCCTTCCTACTAAGAAATTACTTAGGCATCCTAGAAAATTTCTAGAAGATAAATGTGAAACAATTTTAGCTATTAAAATTTTACAAACTGGAACAGTACATATCATTAATCTTCGGATATGTAGGCATGGCATGATGCTCAATCGAGTAGATTACCGGATTGCATTGCTCATGTATTCGTGTGCACAGAATAGTAGATGCATAAATTTTAGGTGGAAAATTTTGGTCGGAATCTTATTTTGCGTAGCATTATTTCATTTCGTGTATGTTGGTGTTGAGTGTTTGTTTTTTCTTCCTTGGCATGGCCAGTGAGTCATGATTGAGGGGCATCATGTTATTATTCTGTTACATGTGAAGAGAGATTGGGTTTGGCTAAAAGGATGATTTCTGATTTTGATTTTGAAAGGCACGAACCCTATTCATGAAAGCCTACAGAACAAACTTCCTAATCGATTCAATTTTTCCTCCCTTCTATATCTTTCAATTCAAATCGTAAAGAACTTCTGAAGATTAAATAAACCTGTCAGTCCACTTCTTGGTGAACCAGACTGAGTAGGTGAATGAAGAAGCCAAGTATCTCCATACGAAGCAATCCCTATAAAGCTCTTTATCATTAGGGTTAGTTGTCATGATTTTCCTATGTTAGAGATCTTAGCACAGATAGATTGTTAGCACCAGACTGGTGTATAGTGAGTGAAAATTTCTTTTGGATGTCAGGAAGGATGGAAAGCCATTTCCCGTTGTAGGAGTGTTGGGGTTATGGTATGAATTTCCTTGATCAGGAAGTTTGAAATCCTGAATCGATCATATTTGGATGCTTATGAAGTAATTTCGTCCTTTGGATTGTGAAAAGAAGGGAGGCGAGGACCAATTTTATTCCTATATTTCACTGTCTTTCCTTAGATCTGCTTGGTTTTTTTCTTGCTTAGTTGTGGCATATTACCAGTTACAACTGGATGCAGGAGGAGGAAGATGAGTATGATAAAGTGGCCGAGGGAAGAGAAAATGCTGGGGAGCGACTATATATGAAGGATGTTACTGATCAAGGGTCTTTTTTGAACTTTTACAATGTAGTTTCTAAGTCATTACATGGTACTAGGGACCCACGTGCCAATCATCTGGCAGCAAAAATTAGGTTGCAAGAAGATCGAGTTGAAGCTCAAACAGAAAATTCTCATAATGATTTTGATAAAGCTACAAAGGTATCCAATGAATGTAGCAGTGGGCAATTGAAGTCTATATTGAAAAGGAAACAGAATAATTCAGATTTCAAGTCATGCAAACGTGTCAGGTTTGATCCTGGTTGCAGAGCTGTACATAAAGAAGATGCTTCAGAAGAAATTCAAGACATTTCCATGACTGCCTCTTCAGCTAATGATTTGATTTCAGAAGATGGATCCATAGCAGTTCAGAATGCTCTGGGGGTACCAGATTATTTAAGGAATCCTTCAAAGTATACCCGTTATAGTTTTGATTCATCCACTGAAGTTGATGAGAAATCCGATACGCAATCTTATAATGACTTTCTTAAGTCGGTCAAATGTTCAAAATCCACAGACTCAGGATCAGAACTGGAAGATGCTTCATCTGATATTCCAAAAGTGACCTTTATCCCGAAGAAATTAGCAGATGAAGTAAAAGCAATAAGTAGTGACTGCATGGTTAAGCAGGATAAGGGACATAATGATGATCATTATGTGCATGCCACAAACTTCCTTGTTGGCATTGCAGCTGGGGAATCCCAAGAGTCTGAAGCTGGTGCTGTGGAGGAAAACGAACCAGAAAGAAATGTAGCAGATAGAAATACTGGTTTCCAAAAACCTGGCCGCAGGTATCGAACAAAGTCAAGCTTGGATGACTTTGATCCTTGATGTATTTTGAAGTTTCTGCATTCCTACATACTAGATTTCTGAACAGAAATCTCACTCTCCTTTCCTATAGCAACTTCATGCCTCCAAGGAGCTCTGTTTCCAACAACTTTAGGGCTGGCTGTTTTTCCTACTATATCACTTGGGCTATCCTGAACATTTTGTTGGTACTGTATAAGAATGGGTTCTTCCCCTTGAATGAAATCCCAATTTTATTATTATATAAAGGAGCAGCTACATGTCTATTTGATTTATGCATGTTCTGTTGGAATTAAGCTCCTGCATCTACAAATTGCAGGTGTTGTCTGCGAAGGTTGTTTAATGCCATTGTTGTCATATTTGCGAGAAATTATATGCTACCTGTTATCTGTTCTCGGTGGCTTTGATTCTCAATGCTTGGTGAAGTTTCTGCAACCCTACATGTTGGATTTTTATGCATTTCTGTCTATTTCCCACAATTTCAACCCTGGCTGTTTGCCCCATCACGTAGGTCTGCATGTATAATAATGAAGATTTCGGCCAGAGTGTCGATGATATGCAGAAGCAAATGCAGATTTTTATTTGGTTTATGCATGTGATGATGGAATTCAGCTCCGACGAGTGCATTTGTCAATATTCCTGCATCCCCAAAACTCGCAGCTGTCTTCCAAGCTTGTGTAATGCCATTTTTGTCGCTAGTGTGAGAAAGTATGCCTCTTGTCTGTTTAAATTATCTGGTAGCTCTTCTGGATCGAAAATGATGGCATACGAAAACCATGCATTGGTTATAACCTAGGGATAACAGGAATCTCACTGGACTTTTGAAAATTAGCTATGTACTTAATTGACAGCGAGACGTATCAGAAAGTACCAAATATAATTGGTTTACAAAAATCATCAGTAGAGGGCAAGAAATTCGATATTTTAGAAACAAATATTTCTGGAAAGTTATTTTAGCAGTGTTATCGTAATATGAACGTTTCTTCATTGACAAAACTGTTTCATACAATTGCATCCGCAGTCTAACACCCACAAAAAAATATTTGCAGTAGAAGCGTAGAAAGGTCTATAGTATCAACTTCTCAATTTAAACGAGAACAGGGATTGCAATGCATGTAAGGAATGACTTCTGTAGCTTAATATAATTAAAAACCTGTACAAATCCCCCAAACATCCGAGTAATAACAATGAAGAAGCAGAAATATGGTGATGTATACGCTTCTCTCTGATTTTATTATCTATATAAGGACCCTATGGTCTATAATGGCACTAAGCCACAAAGGTGGCAAAATGTAAAGGAAGAATATTTAAAAAAAAAAAAAAAACAAGATATAGAATGTGGTCCTAAGATAAATCATCAAAATCAATTCACCAATACTCCAACCCCAGCTAAATCTATGAAACTAGAAACGAGCTTTGTTATGTACACAAACTTCCTATCTGGCTTTAACTACAACTTATCCGCTATTTTCCCAAGGGCATCCGCCAGCTTATTAAGAACAGCAACCAAGCCATTTGCATGATCCTTCCTCTGCTCCCGGTCCAACTGAAAATTGGTGTTCTGAGCTTCAAGCTGAGCAGTCAGCATCTTGCCATTCCTTTCCAAGACATCAATCAAATGACTCTGCAAACTAGTGGTTTCCTCTTCCCCATCCATTGCAAACCGTTTCCGTTTCCTATCCTCGTGCGAAGCAGAACCCATCTCAGGAGTTGTAGCAGGCCTTTTATCATTTGTTGGACCTGCAACGTGCATAAAAGGATTAAGTGTATTTTCTTTGCAAGTAAAACTGGGCTGATGGTGAAGTTTCCATGATCAAATGAAGTTGCAAAACGGTCGAAAACCACCAATTATTTCTCAACCCCAACCCAAAAATATACATCAACGCTGCTCAATAGACCATTTTGATCAATGGAGCAGCTCGATTCTGGGAAATGGGGTAATATATAGCACTCTGACCTACACTGCGGTTCAGAGCATATATCCAGCAAGAAAGTGTTCACAACCTTCAAACAATGGATAAGGTAATGGAGAACTCAACCATAACTGGAGACATCGGGATACATGAACTCAAAACCAGGAAGTCAGTTTTTCTTGACGGACTACGGTTCTAAAAGAACCACATTCTACATTCAAACAAGAATTTCGCAGTAACATTCCGAGTAAAAAAAATAAAAAAATCATAATTTATAATGCGATTAGCTGTTGAAAAAAAAAAAAACCTATGAAATCACAGATCACGTGAATTAAAGGCAAAATCATGACAATCTGATCAAAAGGTCAATGCAAAGTAGGTTTTCGTCATAAAGCGTCTGGTTATAAATTACTTGTCCTACACGATCTATTCAGGGGAAGACTATATAGGCAGAGTGGAACTGTGGAAGGCTGGAAGCTAAGACACAACATCATACTCAATTATGAATAAACTTGCAGAATAGATGAGTGATTCCATAAAATAATTTAAGGACCAATTAAGAAAGAGGCACCAAAATCATAGTCAATATGACGAATAAACAACTAAACCAGAGCCTTACCTTGAGCTTGACTTGCTCGCGGAGCTGGATGGTACTGCTTCTCTGTACATAACAAGAAGCCAAACAAAGAGCTAAAAATATCAGCAACTATATTATTACCTTCAATTAAAGCCTAATAATCTAAAATCTCTGTTATTGGTAATAAATAAATACAGAATATAAATAAACAATAAAGAAATAGAAAAGAAAAGAAAAGGTGCAACAACCATGGAAATTGGAGGGCATTCAATTTTTTTAAAAATGTCCAAACAAAATAACCCCATTTCAGTACTTAATAAAATCCTACCACCAACTTTATAGCATCATCATCTACCACTAAAAACCTTAAATTTTACTAACAACCAAACAAAATTTATAGAAACAAAACCACAATTATTTTATAAACCCAAAAAACCCCAAACCTCAAAATTTCAGGGGGAAAAAAATCTCCAACCACAAATTACCTGAAATCGGCGTCGGATTAGCAACCCCCGCCGTTACCGCCGCCTTTATCGGCTGCACCTCCTTAACTACAGGCTCCGGACTCCTTCCTCCCTCCTCCTGCTCAAAATCCGAAAACAACCCATCCTCCACAGCTGCACTCCGTCCGCTATCGAAAATCACCTCCTCCGCTACTGTCTCCACCTCAACTGCCGTCGAAGACGGCGCCAAAGCCAGCGCCAATCCCGGTACCGTACCACCACCACCATCGAGAATATCATAAACCTCCCTATCAAAAAATCCAGGCAACTTCCTTTCTCTTCTCAAATCATTCCTCATAACCCAAAACGACTCCGTTTCTTCTCTTATTGAAGACTCCCATTCTTTTATCTTCTTATAATCACCTGCTAAATTGCTCCATCTTTTCCGACACTGAACCGGTCCCCGGTTCACTCCATGTCTTTTACAGTAAGAAGATACTGAGGCCCATTTCGGTTCGACTTGACCCGACCCGATACCCATACCCGACGCCCGACCTCTTCGGACTCTGTTTTCCGCCACTCTCTTGCCTTGTATGAGTACCAGAATTTCTTGCCGGGTCCAACGAGGGAGTCTCGGTGCCTTGTTTCCGTCATCTCCACCGTCACGGACGTTGGTGTCAACGCCGTTAGTTCTATCGCCGTCAACTGGGTTTTGAGTTGGGGTTAAGCTTAATTGCTGCTCTAAAGCCATAATTAAAGAAAATGATGGAAACGGGTTTTTTTTTTCTTTTGTTTTTTTGAAGGCACGTGACTTAACGGGGGGTGGTGAAGTAACGGCGTTCTAAGGGAGAGTCCGTTACGGCGTTTACAGGAGAGGGGGTCATCAATCTCTCATCCCTTCCCCGTAATAACAGAATTGAGAGAAGGAGAGAAATTGAGAGAGAGTGGTTCGTTTTAAGGGTTTGGTAGTATTTTTCTTTTTTTAATAATTTACTTGGGTATTGACTGAGTAGTGAGTGCCTTTTAATCCCTAATTAAGGATAGTCAATTGTGAGATTGATTAGGGTTATATCTTAAATTTCTCAATTAACAGGAGGGGATTTCTTTCTTTATTTGTTTGATGAGCTAGGCTATAGTTGATTACTTTTTGATTTGGACAAGGGGTACCCTTAATTATCTTCCTGTTAAGTACTTTTCAAGTCCCTATAGAGAGAGTTCATTGTCTTTTGAGTAAAACATGGTTAATTTTAACACGTTTTATTGGGCCACCTTTCGCTTGGCACGCATCTTTTTCCATCAAACCTATGTTGATTCTCTTGCCCACGGTTTCGCAAATGCTCTTAAATTGATAAATATTCTGTTTTTATATCATTAATTAACAAATATTCTTAAATCCTTGATAGTCATTAAAATGCGAACAGTTTTTTACTGGAGTAAGATCATCCCCAAGACTCACAAAATCTTGAAAAAATAATTAAAAAAATAAAAACAATTGCCACTTTCAAAACAAGATATAATTATTGGGTATTCTGCATGTCAAAACCCTATATAATTCAGATTTTTTAATTGAGATTTTAATTTTTTTTAATCTAATTTAAGAGTTCTATTTTTATATTATTGTTGTTTCGGATCATAACCAATAACAACTTGTCATGTGTGCATTCTAAGCAAATGACAGACTTATCACATCACCAATTCAATTATTCAAGTTGGACTTATCATGATACGTGATGAACTATTATTGGTTAGAGCTTACTATGTGTACTTATATATCATATTAGGATTCGAAACAACAATAACATAAATAATAGAATTCTTAAATTAAAAAAAAATTAGGGTCTTAATAAAAAAATTTAAATTATACGAGATCTTAATATAAAACCCTATAATTATTTGTGAATTTTATGTGATTCCTTATTGATAAAACTAATACACTCCAAAAATCATGTGTCAGAGCAGTGGAGTACTCAGAATTAATCTCGTGTATATATATATTAGAGAATTCTTTTAAATAATAATTAATCCCTGAATTTCTTTTTCCTCTCCAAGAGCATAAGATTCTAAATTTTTTAAGTATCCTTTTCAGCCATGGCGTGGACTAAAATGCTGATAAGGGCATCTTACCCTACCACTAAAACAAATTGGTCCATCTCTACCCATCTTATCTCAATTAATCTTTTTCCCTAATCTTCATTTAATGGCTAATACATGAGTCTGCCCCGTAATTTAAAGCCACTTTTTCGTTGGATGGATTTGAAAGGTTGAGAGTCCCATTTGGTGCGTTACCTCTTCCCCTTACAAGTAAAATACCATCAAACCCTACACGTCCTCTTTCGCCTTTCTTTTCTTCTCATCTGTTCATCCCTTCCCAGCTAATTAAATGAATTGACCCGTTCAGTTTCTTTTCAAACAATATAGTCTATCCGTACCCAAAAAAATTGTCATTTTTTAACTTTTATATACATTGAAAAAATCATTAACTATTATGTTATATCATTTTTTTCATTCGTATTTTTTAAAAATATTCTCATCTCGATTATAAATCTCTTGTATGATGAAATATATATATATTTAAAAAAACAAATAAAAATATAAAACAGCACCATTTTTTTTTTTTACAGAGATAATATTTAATAGTATCTGATTGAAGAAAAAAGCTATTATAAACGGATTGGAAGGAAGCACGTACGTCATGAGGGGCTAAGATTAGGGGTCAGTGAAGGGTCACACTCTTCCTGCGATAGAGTGGGGACCAGGCTGCTGATTATGGCCCTCTATTTTTACGGGCATGTGAAACGAAGAGTAAGCCTAACCTATACACCTTTATTAGTTGGTCGCTCTGTACCATATTTTGGTCCTTTGGTTGAACGAAATGGTTAGCACTTAGCACCCTTCGTGACCCCTCAAGCATGTAACTGATGATTCTTGTGCATGCACATTATCGGAATATGGACGTTTTGTTTGATTTTCCTTTTTTGTCAAAAAAGGAGAGAATAATTTAGTCTTAATACATGAAAAGAAAAGCATGAATTTATTTACATAAAGAAAGCGAACAATGCTTGCATGGATAAATTGTTCTCGCACTGATAATTCTTCTTATTTATTGATTCTCTCATGTGATGTAATGCTGTAGTTACGCACTCCCTCTCTCTTCAATCTGAGATTTTTTTTTTTTTTTTTAAGGACAGTTGAAGATATATATATATATTTGAGATAGGTTAAACTTCAAAATTCATACTAATTTTTTAATTTTTTTATCAGAGACACACAAAGAGGAATACAATTAATTAAAGATTTTTTTTAATATATAAAAACTCAAATCCAAAATCATTTATTTAAACTATTAGAGTTTTTTTTTGTTCAAATCAAAATTTTTTTAAATAATCAATTATATATTTAATTAGTTTGCACGGCAGCAAAACTAAATTCCTTTTCAATTCAATTTAAAATGTGCTAAAACAAGGGTAGATATAGCTTTGAAAAAATTAGCTTTTGTGGCTACCAATGCAATGACATGATGTTTTAGATGACTTAATTTCCATCCACTGTACCACGGAGGAAATCACTGTGAAAGATGCAACCCTGCAGTTCTTTTAACGTTACGTTCTGCTAAAGGATATTACTGGTTAATCATACACCATTCTAGCTGTGGTCACATGCATTGTCTTAAGTGGTCAACTAAAGCCAAACAAACTATGCTTAATCTTTGATTAGACCATAGGACCACCATGAACAAAGAGTCTCAATAATTTCGTGAACAACTCTTGGTCTCTTTTGGGTTGTGGGACTAACGATAGGTGTGGGTCCAAAATGGTCCTTTAATCACCAAAATTATCTTCTAATTATGGCATTTGCTACTAGAAGCAATTAAGGAGTAAGTGATGTTTCCCACGCTTCATGTTTATTGATTTGTAAGCTTAATCACAACTCGAAGAAAAAAGAGGATCTCTTTGTGCGTGAGCTGTTCTGGATTGGATTGATTGGTTCCTCAACGGGTCTAGCATGAATATGTCTTAAGGGTTTTGGTAACAAGTGTCCAAATCATTTATTAAAATAGTATTAAAACTCCTTAATCTAACTCCATTATCCCACTTCCATACGTAATTTATTTTTCTAATAATTGCATTTTTTCGGTTAACTAAACAATTGCAATTCATGTTTTTTTTTTAATCTTTAATGTACTCCTATCAGTAAAGTAACAGGTAATCAAACTTGATGCCTCTGTTATTCTATAAATACAAAGGAAATATAAATAACATAATATCGGTTATGTTCCTCTATTGTACATGATGTATTTTGCATTTTAATTGAGTATGCATCATAGCTTTTAGTACTAATATTTTTACTGTTATTATTATTACTGCTACTTATTTTTAAGTACATTTTGTATAAAATAATGTAAGATAACATGGGGAAAAAAATGCTTACCTTAAATTATAAAAAATTACCATATTGCTATATTGACATTAATGGAGAAGTGAGTGGTGCTTGGATCTCTTAATTCCAGAGTCTATGGAAGATTAGCTGAATCAGAAAAACACCTCTGGCCTATAGAGAACTCGATAAGCATCTCTTGAATTATCACCCTGATGAATTGACTAATTATCTTGAATTGGTCCCATGTTACTCAAAAATTGTAATTAGTTTAATATCATTGTATAGAATAAGTTTTCTCTGCATTTAGATCTTGTATTATTATTATTTTTTTTTATTTGATTAAAATTTTTTATTTTTTGAAGTTTTTTACTTCGGACACTTCTTTATAAAATTACCAATTAGTGATCAATAACTCTTTAAGATTGCTTATTTTACAATATTATGTTTCGATTATTAATTAGTTACATTATAACGTAGAAAAATTAAAAATACATGATCCAAATATGAGAAAAAAACCCTACATAAAATACAATTTGATTAATGTTCTAGTTAGGCTATGTTTTTTTTTCCTTTTCGATAAAATATCCAAAGGACCTTGAATTGTATAATGGGTGGTAATTTTCTTATCTATAATATTTTTTTATCCCCTCTAAAATTTCAGTACGAGACCTCCATGGTAAGGATCTCAAGTTTTAATTGTTGAATTGTTTCTTTAGAGACATTTGTTAACGAAATTGTTTAACATCATTGAATGAAAATAGAATTATGTTTATGCCATTATTACGGCAACTAAGAAAAAGAAAATAAAATTTCTCATCATATAAGTCAAGCTATTTCCCTGAAGCCATAAGAAATAATAGATCTACCTTAATTTCATTTTGATATGTTTTATTAAGAACTTGATTTTATAGATCAAGGTGGTTAGGTTTTGAGTTAGTGTGTATATATATATATATATATATATGTTGGAATTCCAAATCTTCAATTCGTGGATTTGTTAATTAAAATGGAAGTTGTGTGGCTTTTTTAGCTCAAGAAAAGCCTAATAATAAAGATTGATTCAATGGAAAAATGCCATAATCACAAAGTTCCGAGAAAATCAGTGCTTGGTAACATGTTACGCTATGTACCAGTGGCTCATAAGACACGGTATTAGGTAAAAACTTACAAACTGTGGGCATTTGTCAATTGATTATTGCCCTATTTGTAACCCTGGTCTTCCATTTAGGCAATTTTAATCGTTATCAAATTTCATAAGAATTGTATAGCACACGCAATGTGGTTTTACTAATTCGTGAATGGAACAACTCATGCTTGACATGCAAACGAATCCGATCCTTCTTATTACATGCGAAAGTTTTTTTCTCATGGTTT